GCCGGGAGCCCCACAGCGCCGTCCCGGCGGCTCTGTGGGTGCGGGGTGTGTGCCAGGGTGACCGGTGATGCTGGGAGCTTGGCACCCGGTGAGCAACGGGGTATTTTTAGGCTCGTTTTTCTCCACGCTCCTACGGAAATGGGGCCGGAGCAGGGGCTGGGTGGCACAGCGGGGACGGGTGAGCGTGGCCCCGCTGCGGACCGTGTGTCACCCAGGGCGTTTGGGGTGCACGGGGGCACCTCGGTGTGATGGTGGTCCAGGGTGTGATGGGGCACGTGTCCTGCTTGTCACCTCTCCAGCACTGGGGATGTCCCTGTGGGCACCCAGTGTGTGGGGTGACACCATCCCATTGCTATCGACCACCCGGGAAGGGTCTGAGCCAGGGGATGGGGGAAGAAATTGGGGCTCTCTGAGGAGTTTCCGGGCAAGGACCACGTTTGCTGCAGCCCAGGTGGGACATCTGCCTGGGCTTCACCCCCCTGCCCCCAAATCCCCCTGCGGAGAGGAGCACGAGCTGGGAAACACCTGGGAAGGGGGAGAAAACACTGGGAGATGGGCTCCATCCTTCACCTGCATCCCTCACCCGGCTCCCACCGTTTCTATGGAAACCCGGATGGTGACCACAGTCTGCAGCCCCCCTCCCCTTCCCTGCTGCGGGACCCCCGCACCCCTCACCGTGACGAGCTTGGAGAAGGTCTCGTAGATGAAGATGAGGGAGATGAGGAAGGAGAAGATCTCCTGGGTGAAGCGGGAGACGAAGCGCACCAGGAAGCTGCCCTCGAAGGCCACCATGACCAGCACGATGAGGATGAGCCAGAAGCCGATCCAGACGCGCCCCACCAGGTACTCCAGCTCGTTGGACGTGCAGAACTGCCGGTGCGGTGCAGACGGAAACCAGAAGCCGATCCACACCCGGCCCACGATGTACTCCATGCCATTGTCACTGCAGAACTGAGGAGCCACAGGGCACAGCCCCATCAGCCCCCCCGGAGCCCCCGGCGTGGGCACCCACGTGGGCTGGACCCCGGGGTCCCACGGTGGCCCTGTGCCTCCTTCCTGGGGGCTGGAGGGTGCTGGGATGGGGACAGTGGTACCACGGTGCGGCAGGACCCCTGTGGGATCACCCGCCTGGCAGTGTCCCAATGGCAGCACCTGCCTGGCACGGCCCGCGTGGTGTCACCCACGCCGTGTCAGCTATCTGACATCACCCACATGGTGTCGCACACCTCCCATCACCCCTGTGCCATAGCCCAGATGGCTCTAACCTGCGTGATACCACCCAACTGCCACCACCCATACGGCATCGCCCATGTGACATCCCACAAGTGCCATCCCTCATGTGTTGTCACCCCTGTGCCATCGCCCAGATGGCTCTACCTGCGTGATATCACCCAACTGCCACCACCCGTATGGCATCACCCATGTGACATCCCACAAGTGCCATC